AATGAATAAACAATAAACTTTTACTATTTCCTGAATATGCGCTACAAATCAGCCCCACCCACTCCTCAAAAGAATGCTTATGCAGCTACTTGTTCGCTGATTAAAGCTTCATTATCAGGCACTGAACTGCTCCGCCGGATTTCATGAACTCGCTCATGTTCACCATGATGGTCTTCAGTCCTCGCTTTTGCAACTTCTCTGCCGTCTCGTCGCACCCTGATGGCATGATGACCGTCGTGCCGATGGCGATGCAGTTGCAAGCGAATCTTTCGGCGTCCTTGCTGCTGACCGTGATCGTTTCGATGTTGTTCTGTATGAGTTCCCTCGACTGCCTGGTGAACGCGTCCGGATGCCAGACGGCCAACTTCGGCGTGACAGGACTGAAGCACGTGTCCAAGTGGTAGAAATGGTGACTGGTCAGTTCGCAGTCGATGATCTTAAAGTCGCCAAGTGCGTGCATCTTTGAATAAATCTGAAAAAAAGAAGCGTACGCCTAGAAATCAAAATTTGGCAGTTAAATGAACCAAAACAGGTGCAAAATTACGAAAACGTCGCACAGTGCACAAGTTGTCTGAGGCTCTGACCATCGAAAAGAAGTTATCAAAGAATCAGTCATAATTTTTAGCTGTCAGAGGTGCTGCAAGCAGACGCTGAACTGTTTGAACTAAAGTCTACAAGAAATCTGCAAACATGCCGTCGCATATGCAAGAAAAGGATGTACATATAATGTCACTGATTCAATGTGCTAATTCATGTGATATCTTTATCGAAGAAAACAACCAGTCATTAGCAAAGGACGAAGTGCAATCTGTCAGAGGAATAAGAAGCAAAAGTACTTGTATTTGGATTGATGCGAATTAGCGCATCCACTGCTGCCCATTCTAGTAATCAGCATGTGAAAGGTTCATTAGCTACGCCTATTCTTTCATAAAATACCTTTGAAATTTGCAACATCTATAGATGTACTGTCGAAGAGCTAGAAATAAAATCTTCTTTTACCATAAGTTGTCAGATCATAGATTTATTACAACTAACTGAACAGCTCTGTTACTTCTGTTACGTGGGACACGGGATTCAAGCTCAGATCTTATGCCCACCCATTCAGTCACTTAATCGACGACCGTTTATTGCTGTTAAGCAACACCGGAGATGGAACCTATGATTAAATCAGTTAAAGTCACTCAAAAAAAGCGAGCCATCAAATCAGCCCTGTAAAAACCGGAGTGATGAGGAAAGCAAAAATGACAGTGATGATGGCTGTATTACGCCATGAAGACCGGTGGTTGAAACGGATCACTTAAAATAGGTTGGTTCTGCTATTTACAACGACAGCCACAGTGACAGCTTAATAGGAAAACTGTTGTAGTAGCGACGGCACTTATAAGGCTAACAAAAATCTGGCTTAAGCAGAGCATCAGACTGATGACAAAGTCAAGACATTCGCTTCTTTTACTCTTCCGATTCTTTTGTACGGATAAGAAACAGCCACCGCACTGGAAGGCGAGAGTAGCTTCTAAATGCTTTCCTGTCAGGTTGTTTGCACAGCCCTTAAGGATGGGCGGTACAGATGAATAACCAATAGAGAAATGCTGTCTACGATTAAAGTATGAGATGTCATATCCCACTACAGCAGCAACGAATCGCGCGGTTGCACAGAACAGTGAGCATAGGCAAACCACCAATCGCTTGTCAGATTCCCTTGGAACCAGTTCCGGTTCCGGAAGTTGTTGCCAGCAAGCAACGTGGAAAGGACAACCACCAGGCATACTTGCAATCACTTAAATGTACTTTCTTTGCGTTGCCAACCACAGAATCCGACGACCTATAAGCTTCTCCTACGTTCTAACCTACGTCTCCACTTACTTGAATAGCTACTTATTTACTGACCTACTTACGCGACTTCTTAAAATCATACCGGTACCGTACCATGGATGAGTTGAATCTGGGTCTTCTGGTACCACAATACCAGTCGGAATAATAAAACATTATTTTTCGCGCTGCCAATCATGGAAACCGAAGATCTATGTGCTTCTATTTATTGGTGCACTTACGTACTTATTTATTCACTTACTTATTAACTCCCTCCTTCATTTAATTTTTCCTTTCTTCTTTATTTTTTATATCCTTCTTTCCTTCCTTCACTAATTTACCTGAGGAACTTTCGTCGTCTAACCAATCCTCTCTGCAAGCTTCAATGAGACACAGCTGCCCGCTCCGCCCCCTATTTCATCATTCGGTCAGTCAGTATCGTTTAGCATTATAATCTTAGTAGCCCATGGATTTACCTTTAGCATTTTCTAACAGCCTTTCTTGCTTAAATGCGATTAAATACAGAACACTCTGCTTGTAAACTGTGACCTGCTTCCTTTGCAACTAATGGTATATGGAAATCGTGAGTTTGACAAGGAATACAAAATTTCAAACTAAATAATTAATTCGAACCAATTAATTATTGATAAATTATAGAGCTGTTTGATATTC